TTAAAAATAAAGTGAAACAATTATCATTAGAATAAAAGTATAAAGTGAGAAAAGATAAATTAGCTTCTACTGAGTCCAACAGGGTTTGTTTTGTTTGTTTTTGAATTGTTTGATTAGAAAAATCAGCTAAAAGTATGATTACATAATTTTTATGTTTTATTTTATTTTTATTTATTTATGTTTTTGTTTATTTCCTTTTTTTCCCAGTACAGAAGATACATCCACTGATTTTGATTTTGATTACGTTTGATGCATTTATTTTTTTTGTGTTTTGTTTTATTTATTTTATTTTGAGTTGTTTATTTTTTTTTCTCACTTCATTGATTGATGGAATTGAGTGATCACATGTGATTATGAGATGAAAGAGGAGAGTGTGAGGATTAGATACTTCTGTGCAGGACCAGCACCAGACCATACGCACATGGTCATAACATGTTTCCATGTCATGACCATGATACACTCTGAGTGTGTATCCATGTGTGACCATGATACACTCTGAGTGTGTATCCATGTCATGACCATGATACACTCTGAGTGTGTATCCATGTCATGACCATGATACACTCTGAGTGTGTATCCATGTCATGACCATGATACACTCTGAGTGTGTATCCATGTCATGACCATGATACACTCTGAGTGTGTATCCATGTCATGACCATGATACACTCTGAGTGTGTATCCATGTCATGACCATGATACACTCTGAGTGTGTATCCATGTCATGACCATGATACACTCTGAGTGTGTATCCATGTCATGACCATGATACACTCTGAGTGTGTATCCATGTCATGACCATGATACACTCTGAGTGTGTTTCCATGTGTGACCATGATACACTCTGAGTGTGTTTCCATGTCATGACCATGATACACTCTGAGTGTGTTTACATGTCATGACCATGATACACTCTGAGTGTGTATCCATGTCATGACCATGATACACTCTGAGTGTGTTTCCATGTCATGACCATGATACACTCTGAGTGTGTATCCATGTCATGACCATGATACACTCTGAGTGTGTATCCATGTCATGACCATGATACACTCTGAGTGTGTATCCATGTGTGACCATGATACACTCTGAGTGTGTATCCATGTCATGACCATGATACACTCTGAGTGTGTTTCCATGTGTGACCATGATACACTCTGAGTGTGTATCCATGTCATGACCATGATACACTCTGAGTGTGTTTCCATGTGTGACCATGATACACTCTGAGTGTGTATCCATGTCATGACCATGATACACTCTGAGTGTGTATCCATGTCATGACCATGATACACTCTGAGTGTGTTTCCATGTCATGACCATGATACACTCTGAGTGTGTATCCATGTCATGACCATGATACACTCTGAGTGTGTATCCATGTCATGACCATGATACACTCTGAGTGTGTTTCCATGTCATGACCATGATACACTCTGAGTGTGTTTCCATGTCATGACCATGATACACTCTGAGTGTGTATCCATGTCATGACCATGATACACTCTGAGTGTGTTTCCATGTGTGACCATGATACACTCTGAGTGTGTTTCCATGTCATGACCATGATACACTCTGAGTGTGTTTCCATGTTATGACCATGATACACTCTGAGTGTGTATCCATGTCATGACCATGATACACTCTGAGTGTGTTTCCATGTGTGACCATGATACACTCTGAGTGTGTATCCATGTCATGACCATGATACACTCTGAGTGTGTTTCCATGTCATGACCATGATACACTCTGAGTGTGTATCCATGTGTGACCATGATACACTCTGAGTGTGTATCCATGTCATGACCATGATACACTCTGAGTGTGTATCCATGTGTGACCATGATACACTCTGAGTGTGTATCCATGTCATGACCATGATACACTCTGAGTGTGTTTCCATGTGTGACCATGATACACTCTGAGTGTGTTTCCATGTCATGACCATGATACACTCTGAGTGTGTTTCCATGTCATGACCATGATACACTCTGAGTGTGTATCCATGTCATGACCATGATACACTCTGAGTGTGTTTCCATGTCATGACCATGATACACTCTGAGTGTGTTTCCATGTCATGACCATGATACACTCTGAGTGTGTATCCATGTCATGACCATGATACACTCTGAGTGTGTTTCCATGTGTGACGTAACAATGACTATATAAACTGTGAACTGACTCCATTTTGTCTGAGAGAAAGAAACATGAGAAACCACTGGCCCTTGAGAGAAACCACTGGCCCTTGAGAGAAACCACTGGCCCTTGAGAGAAACCACTGGACCTTGAGAGAAACCACTGGACCTTGAGAGAAACCACTGGACCTTGAGAGAAACCACTGGACCTTGAGAGAAACCACTGGACCTTGAGAGAAACCACTGGCCCTTGAGAGAAACCTAACAAACTTCCAGGACTTTGGCGCACCACGGTCCGTCTCGGTCTGCTTCATTGGTGACACTACTTTATTGTGATTACACACAAAAAACAGAACATTATTGTCCTGAGACTGGGCTTCATAAATCATTCACTCATAAAAAAATAAGAATAAAAAAAGGCCTAGGTTCATGTCCTCTGTAGAAAGGTCACCAGAGGAGCCCTTCTTTAAAGGTGTGGGTCTGAAGTGGCAGTTGTGTTGTCGACCTGTGTTGTCCTTTGTATCCGTTGTGTAATCGTTGGCGGCTCAGGTTTTAACCAACGCATCGTTATCAGTTTCTTTGCTGTCATTAAGATGTAGAAGAAGTCTTTGGTCAGGGGTCAGGGGTCAGATGGTCAGGGGTCAGGGGTCAGATGGTCTGGGGTCAGATGGTCAGGGGTCAGATGGTCAGGGGTCAGGGGTCAGATGGTCTGGGGTCAGGGGTCAGATGGTCTGGGGTCAGGGGTCAGATGGTCTGGGGTCAGATGGTCTGGGGTCAGATGGTCAGGGGTCAGGGGTCAGATGGTCTGGGGTCAGATGGTCAGGGGTCAGATGGTCAGGGGTCAGGGGTCAGGGGTCAGATGGTCAGGGGTCAGATGGTAAGGGGTCAGGGGTCAGGGGTCAGATGGTCAGGGGTCAGGGGTCAGGGGTCAGGGGTCAGATGGTCAGGGGTCAGGGGTCAGATGGTCTGGGGTCAGATGGTCTGGGGTCAGATGGTCAGGGGTCAGGGGTCAGGGGTCAGGGGTCAGATGGTCAGGGGTCAGATGGTCAGGGGTCAGGGGTCAGATGGTCAGGGGTCAGGGGTCAGATGGTCTGGGGTCAGGGGTCAGGGGTCAGGGGTCAGGGGTCAGATGGTCAGGGGTCAGGGGTCAGATGGTCAGGGGTCAGGGGTCAGATGGTCAGATGGTCAGGGGTCAGGGGTCAGATGGTCAGGGGTCAGGGGTCAGATGGTCTGGGGTCAGATGGTCAGGGGTCAGGGGTCAGGGGTCAGGGGTCAGATGGTCAGGGGTCAGGGGTCAGATGGTCAGGGGTCAGGGGTCAGATGGTCTGGGGTCAGGGGTCAGGGGTCAGATGGTCAGGGGTCAGATGGTCAGGGGTCAGATGGTCAGGGGTCAGGGGTCAGATGGTCTGGGGTCAGGGGTCAGGGGTCAGATGGTCAGGGGTCAGATGGTCTGGGGTCAGGGGTCAGATGGTCAGGGGTCAGGGGTCAGATGGTCAGGGGTCAGGGGTCAGATGGTCAGGGGTCAGATGGTCAGGGGTCAGGGGTCAGATGGTCTGGGGTCAGATGGTCAGGGGTCAGGGGTCAGATGGTCAGGGGTCAGGGGTCAGGGGTCAGATGGTCAGGGGTCAGATGGTCAGGGGTCAGATGGTCAGGGGTCAGATGGTCTGGGGTCAGATGGTCTGGGGTCAGATGGTCAGGGGTCAGGGGTCAGGGGTCAGATGGTCAGGGGTCAGATGGTCAGGGGTCAGATGGTCAGGGGTCAGATGGTCAGGGGTCAGATGGTCTGGGGTCAGATGGTCAGGGGTCAGGGGTCAGATGGTCTGGGGTCAGGGGTCAGGGGTCAGGGGTCAGATGGTCAGGGGTCAGATGGTCAGGGGTCAGATGGTCTGGGGTCAGGGGTCAGGGGTCAGGGGTCAGATGGTCAGGGGTCAGGGGTCAGATGGTCTGGGGTCAGATGGTCAGGGGTCAGATGGTCAGGGGTCAGATGGTCTGGGGTCAGGGGTCAGGGGTCAGATGGTCAGGGGTCAGATGGTCAGGGGTCAGATGGTCAGGGGTCAGATGGTCAGGGGTCAGGGGTCAGATGGTCAGGGGTCAGGGGTCAGGGGTCAGATGGTCAGGGGTCAGGGGTCAGATGGTCAGGGGTCAGATGGTCTGGGGTCAGATGGTCAGGGGTCAGATGGTCAGGGGTCAGATGGTCAGGGGTCAGGGGTCAGATGGTCAGGGGTCAGGGGTCAGGGGTCAGATGGTCAGGGGTCAGGGGTCAGATGGTCTGGGGTCAGATGGTCAGGGGTCAGATGGTCAGGGGTCAGATGGTCTGGGGTCAGGGGTCAGGGGTCAGGGGTCAGATGGTCAGGGGTCAGATGGTCAGGGGTCAGGGGTCAGATGGTCTGGGGTCAGGGGTCAGGGGTCAGATGGTCAGGGGTCAGATGGTCAGGGGTCAGATGGTCAGGGGTCAGATGGTCTGGGGTCAGATGGTCAGGGGTCAGATGGTCAGGGGTCAGATGGTCAGGGGTCAGATGGTCAGGGGTCAGGGGTCAGGGGTCAGATGGTCAGGGGTCAGGGGTCAGATGGTCAGGGGTCAGGGGTCAGATGGTCAGGGGTCAGATGGTCTGGGGTCAGATGGTCTGGGGTCAGATGGTCAGGGGGTCAGGGGTCAGATGGTCAGGGGTCAGGGGTCAGATGGTCAGGGGTCAGATGGTCTGGGGTCAGATGGTCTGGGGTCAGGGGTCATGGGTCAGATGGTCTGGAAAGAAGTCCAATAAAAATATTTGGGAGTCCAAATAAATGCTCACTTTTAGTACATTCTCCAAAACCTCCTTAATGTTCCTCCAAAAGTGATGTATTTTGGGACAATCCCAGAACATCTGAGTCTGATCTGAGTCTGATCTGAGTCTGATCTGAGTCTGATCTGAGTCTGATCTGAGTCTGATCTGAGTCTGATCTGAGTCTGATCTGAGTCTGATCTGAGACTGATCTGAGTCTGATCTGAGACTGATCTGAGTCTGATCTGAGTCTGATCTGAGTCTGATCTGAGTCTGATCTGAGTCTGATCTGAGTCTGATCTGAGACTGATCTGAGTCTGATCTGAGTCTGATCTGAGTCTGATCTGAGTCTGATCTGAGTCTGATCTGAGTCTGATCTGAGTCTGATCTGAGACTGATCTGAGTCTGATCTGAGACTGATCTGAGTCTGATCTGAGTCTGATCTGAGACTGATCTGAGTCTGATCTGAAACTGATCTGAGTCTGATCTGAGTCTGATCTGAGTCTGATCTGAGTCTGATCTGAGTCTGATCTGAGTCTGATCTGAGTCTGATCTGAGACTGATCTGAGTCTGATCTGAGTCTGATCTGAGACTGATCTGAGACTGATCTGAGTCTGATCTGAGACTGATCTGAGTCTGATCTGATCTGAGTCTGATCTGAGTCTGATCTGAGACTGATTTGAGTCTGATCTGAGACTGATCTGAGACTGATCTGAGTCTGATCTGAGTCTGATCTGAGTCTGATCTGAGTCTGATCTGAGTCTGATCTGAGTCTGATCTGAGTCTGATCTGAGACTGATCTGAGTCTGATCTGAGTCTGATCTGAGACTGATCTGAGTCTGATCTGAGTCTGATCTGAGACTGATCTGAGACTGATCTGAGTCTGATCTGAAACTGATCTGAGTCTGATCTGAGTCTGATCTGAGTCTGATCTGAGTCTGATCTGAGTCTGATCTGAGTCTGATCTGAGACTGATCTGAGTCTGATCTGAGTCTGATCTGAGACTGATCTGAGACTGATCTGAGTCTGATCTGAGACTGATCTGAGTCTGATCTGATCTGAGTCTGATCTGAGTCTGATCTGAGACTGATTTGAGTCTGATCTGAGACTGATCTGAGACTGATCTGAGTCTGATCTGAGTCTGATCTGAGTCTGATCTGAGTCTGATCTGAGTCTGATCTGAGACTGATCTGAGTCTGATCTGAGTCTGATCTGAGACTGATCTGAGTCTGATCTGAGTCTGATCTGAGTCTGATCTGATGGAGCTGTCACTCTGCAGGGTCAGAGCTGCATCTTTACTTCTTTCTGTAGAAGAGCCATGCCTCTGAAGCTAAGCAGGGCAGGGTCTGGTTAGCACTGTGATGGGAGACCTCTGAACAGCAGGGGCCACAGTGGGGCGGCTGCGGCTGTAAAGTGCCAAACTGTGGTTGTGTCCTTAGGCAAGATACTTCCCTCACATTAGAATGAGTCTGGTGTGTGTGTGAATGGTTGGTGGTGGTGGGAGGGGCTTCTGTCAGTGTGCCCCAGGGCAGCTGTGGCTACAGTAGTTTATCACCACCGTGTTTGGAGAGAAAGAGACTTTAGAATCCAGAAAGAACTGTATAAAACTGATGCGTTGTTATTATTATTATTATAATCATTTCCTTTATAAGTAAATGTATAAAACTGATTGTAGAAGTGTTTCTTATCTCTGGACAGAATGTGATGAAGACAACATGGTCTTCATCAGATCTCCTCATAAACAGCTGCTGTAGAAAGATTGGTTTGATTCTGTTCTGTGCCTTTGGAGTAAACTCTGACTTCACAGAAATGAGTCAGACTCAGCGACACTTCCCTCTCAGACCGCACGGGGGCGCCAGAGCTCACCTCGAAAAAAACCATTCCCTTCTCTTTGCTTTGACCACATCAGAAGCAGCAGCAACGGCAGCAGTAGCAGCAGCAGTAGCAGCAGCAGTAGCAGCAGCAGTAGCAGCAGCAGCAGAAGCAGCAGCAGCAGCAGTAGCAGCAGCAGCAGCAGCAGTAGCAGCAGCAGTAGCAGCAGCAGCAGTAGCAGTAGCAGCAGCAGTAGCAGCAGCAGCAGCAGCAGCAGTAGCAGCAGCAGTAGCAGCAGCAGCAGTAGCAGTAGCAGCAGCAGTAGCAGCAGCAGCAGCAGTAGCAGCAGCAGCAGCAGCAGCAGTAGCAGCAGTAGCAGAAGCAGCAGCAGCAGCAGCAGCAGCAGTAGCAGCAGTAGCAGAAGCAGTAGCAGCAGCAGTAGCAGCAGCAGCAGCAGCAGCAGCAGCAGCAGCAGCAGCAGCAGCAGTAGCAGCAGTAGCAGCAGCAGCAGCAGCAGCAGCAGCAGCAGCAGCAGCAGTAGCAGCAGCAGTAGCAGCAGCAGCAGTAGCAGTAGTAGCAGCAGCAGCAGCAGCAGCAGTAGCAGCAGCAGCAGCAGTAGCAGCAGCAGCAGTAGCAGCAGCAGTAGCAGCAGCAGCAGCAGCAGCAGCAGCAGTAGCAGAAGCAGTAGCAGCAGCAGCAGCAGCAGCAGCAGCAGCAGTAGCAGCAGCAGCAGCAGCAGCAGCAGCAGCAGTAGCAGTAGCAGCAGCAGCAGCAGTAGACAGGGACCACACACAGGTCCCCTCTCCCCCTCTCTTCTCTCTCTCTCCTCTCTCCTTTCTCTCCTCTCCTCTCTCTCCTCTCTCTATCCTGTCTCTCCTCTCTCCTCTCTATCCTGTCTCTCCTCTCTCCTCTCCTCTCTATCCCTGTCTCTCCTCACTCACTCCTCTCTCTCCTCTCTCTCTCCTCTCTCTCCTCTCTCTCTCTCTCCTCTCCCTCTCTCCCCCTCTCTCTCTCCTCCCTCTCCCTCTCCCCTCTCCTCTCTCTCTCCTCTCCTCTCTCTCTCCTCTCCCTCTCTCCTCTCCTCTCTCTCTCCCCTCTCTCCTCTCCTCTCTCTCTCCCCTCTCCTCCCTCTCCCCTCTCTCACTCCTCCCTCTCCCTCTCCCCTCTCCTCTCTCTCTCCTCTCCTCTCTCTCTCCTCTCTCTCCTCTCCTCTCTCTCCTCTCCTCTCTCTCCTCTCCTCTCTCTCTCCTCTCTCTCTCCCCTCTCTCCTCTCCTCCCTCTCCCCTCTCTCACTCCTCCATCTCTCTCCTCTCTCTCTCCCCTCTCTCCTCTCCTCTCTCTCTCCCCTCTCCTCCCTCTCCCCTCTCTCACTCCTCCCTCTCCCCTCTCTCTCTCTCCTCTCTCCCCTCTCTCTCTCCTCCCCTCTCTCACTCCTCCCTCTCCCCTCTCTCTCTCCCCTCTCTCCTCTCCTCTCTCTCTCCCCTCTCTCCTCTCCTCTCTCTCTCTCCTCTCCTCGCTCTCTCCCTCATCACGTGTTCCATAATCACATTTGCAGAGCTCCGTGGCTCTCTCTCTTGTGCGTGAGCAGCAGCAGCAGCAGCAGCAGCAGCAGCAGCAGCAGCAGCAGCAGCGGAGGAGGAGGAGGAGGAGGCGGGTCGGAGCCAAGAGAAGTTTGTAGGCTCAGGATCAAAGCAGTTGTTTTTCTCTGGGAGTTTGGATCGAGGCCGCGGCAGAGGAGCCGTGCTGGGCATGGAGCCTATGACTGAGAGGGTCTAACTGTGGGAGTCTGCGGCCGGAGACAGAGGCGCCTCTTCGGGACCACCGTGGATCCGTGTTGTTACAGAGCGGAACATGTAAGAGCCTTTGAACCTCTCTGCTGCTGCTGTAATGGGTTCGCTTCCCTCAAACAGAGTCAGAGCAAGTCTGGCTCTTCTTCTATGTTTGTGTCTGAAACTGAACCAAAGCTTCTTCTTCTAGACCTCGTTAAAAACAAACATAGTCTTCGTCACGGACCAGACCGAACCAGAACTACACAAGAACAGACCGCATTCTACAGTTTAACTGCGTCCCGAGGAGGAGGAGGAGGAGGAGGAGGAGGAGGAGGAGGAGGAGGGGGAGGAGGAGGAGGAGGGGGAGGAGGGGGAGGAGGAGGAGGAGGAGGAGGAGGAGGAGGAGGGGGAGGAGGAGGAGGAGGGGGAGGAGGAGGGGGAGGAGGAGGAGGGGAGGAGGGGGGGAGGGGGGGGGGGGGGGGGGGGGGACGGACGCAGCAGGAGCAGGAGGAGGAGCATCTATCTCCCTGTGACACAGGCCAGTGTGGACCGTGCAGTAGTTTTGGCCTCAGTGTAAGTTGTAAACTCTTTGGCTCCGGTTGGTCCAGGTTTGTGCCAGGACTAGACCCAGGACCAGACCCAGGACCAGACCCAGGGCCAGACCCAGACCCAGGACCAGACCCAGGACCAGACCCAGTGGAGCTGCTGTGTCTGTTTTACTTTGAGGAAAAAGCTGAGATTTTGAGAAACTTTGAGACGGATTTAAAGTTTTTCACAGGAGGCATAATCTGTTTATCCAGAACATGTGACGATTGTTTCTTTCTTTGGGTAGAGTAGAGTAGGGCAGAGTAGAGTAGGGTAGAGTAGAGTAGGGTAGAGTAGAGTAGAGTAGGGTAGAGTAGGGTAGAGTAGAGTAGTATAGAGTAGGGTAGAGTAGAGTAGAGTAGAGTAGGGTAGAGTAGAGTAGAGTAGAGCAGAGTAGGGTAGAGTAGGGTAGAGTAGAGTAGAGTAGGGTAGAGTAGAGTAGAGTAGAGTAGGGTAGAGTAGAGTAGAGTAGAGTAGAGTAGAGCAGAGTAGGGTAGAGTAGGGTAGAGTAGAGTAGAGTAGAGTAGGGTAGAGTAGAGTAGAGTAGAGTAGGGTAGGGTAGAGTAGAGTAGGGTAGAGTAGAGTAGAGTAGAGTAGAGTAGAGTAGAGTAGAGGAGAGTAGAGTAGAGTAGGGTAGAGTAGAGTAGAGTAGAGTAGGGTATATAGAGTAGAGAGGGTAGAGTAGAGTAGAGTAGAGTAGGGTAGGGTAGAGTAGAGTAGAGTAGAGTAGTATAGAGTAGAGTAGAGTAGGGTAGGGTAGAGTAGAGTAGGGTAGAGTAGGGTAGAGTAGAGTAGTATAGAGTAGAGTAGAGTAGGTAGAGTAGAGTAGGGTAGAGTAGAGTAGGGTAGAGTAGGGTAAAGTAGAGTAGAGTAGGGTAGAGTAGAGTAGAGTAGAGTAGGGTAGATAGAGTAGAGTAGAGTAGAGTAGGGTAGAGTAGGGTAAAGTAGAGTAGGGTAGAGTAGGGTAGAGTAGGGTAGAGTAGAGTAGGGTAGAGTAGGGTAGAGTAGAGTAGAGTAGAGTAGGGTAGGGTGGGGTAGAGTAGAGTAGAGTAGGCTAGGGTAGAGTGGAGTGGAGTGGAGTAGGGTAGGGTAGGGTAGGGTAGGGTAGAGTAGAGTAGGGTAGGGTAGGGTAGAGTAGAGTAGAGTGGAGTGGAGTAGAGTAGGGTAGGGTAGAGTAGAGTAGAGTAGAGTAGAGTAGAGTAGAGTAGAGTAGAGTAGAGTAGAGTAGAGTAGTAGTAGAGTAGAGTAGAGTAGAGTAGAGTGGAGTGGAGTAGGGTAGAGTAGGGTAGGGTAGGGTAGGGTAGAGTAGAGGGGAGTGGAGGGTAGGGTAGGGTAGAGTAGAGTAGAGTGGAGTAGAGTAGAGTAGGTAGAGTAGGGTAGGGTAGGGTAGGGTAGAGTAGAGTAGAGTGGAGTGGAGTAGGGTAGGGTAGAGTAGAGTAGAGTGGAGTGGAGTATGGTAGGGTAGAGTGGAGTGGAGTAGGGTAGGGTAGAGTAGAGTAGAGTGGAGTAGAGTAGAGTAGAGTAGGGTAGGGTAGGGTAGGGTAGTGGTAGAGTAGAGTAGGGTAGGGTAGAGTAGGGTAGGGTAGAGTAGAGTAGAGTAGAGTAGGGTAGGGTAGGGTAGGGTAGAGTAGAGTAGGGTAGGGTAGAGTAGGGTAGAGTAGAGTAGAGTAGAGTGGAGTAGAGTAGGGTAGGGTAGAGTAGGGTAGGGTAGAGTAGGTAGGTAGAGTGGTGTAGAGTAGGGTAGGGTTAGAGTAGAGTAGAGTAGTAGAGTGGAGTAGGGTAGGGTAGAGTAGGGTAGGGTAGAGTTAGAGTAGAGTGGAGTAGGGTAGAGTAGGGTAGAGTAGAGTAGAGTAGAGTAGGGTAGGGTAGAGTAGGGTAGGGTAGAGTAGAGTAGAGTAGGTGAGAGTAGAGTTAGGGTAGCAGTAGGGTAGGGTAGAGTAGAGTAGAGTAGAGTGGAGTAGGGTAGGGTAGGGTAGGGTAGAGTAGAGTAGGGTAGGGTAGAGTAGAGTAGAGTAGAGTAGAGTAGAGTAGAGTAGAGTAGAGAGTATTATTGCTGATGGAAAGGCAGTGACGCGGATGGATCTAAAAACATCTCCAGCTCTGGTTGACGTTGTACAAAAATGGAGGAAAAATTCAGACCAGAGAGAGAGACCAGAGAGAGACCAGAGAGAGACCAGAGAGAGACCAGAGAGAGAGACCAGAGAGAGACCAGAGAGAGAGACAGAGAGAGACCAGAGAGAAGACCAGAGAGAGAGACCAGAGAGAGACCAGAGAGAGAGACCAGAGAGAGACCAGAGAGAGAGACCAGAGAGAGAGACCAGAGAGAGACCAGAGAGAGACCAGAGAGAGAGACCAGAGAGAGACCAGAGAGAGAGACCAGAGAGAGACCAGAGGGAGACCAGAGAGAGACCAGAGAGAGAGACCAGAGAGAGACCAGAGAGAGAGACCAGAGAGAGACCAGAGAGAGACCAGAGAGAGAGACCAGAGAGAGACCAGAGAGAGAGACAGAGAGAGACCAGAGAGAGACCAGAGAGAGAGACCAGAGAGAGACCAGAGAGAGAGACCAGAGAGAGACCAGAGAGAGAGACCAGAGAGAGAGACCAGAGAGAGACCAGAGAGAGACAGAGAGAGAGACCAGAGAGAGACCAGAGAGAGAGACCAGAGAGAGACCAGAGGGAGACCAGAGAGAGACCAGAGAGAGAGACCAGAGAGAGACCAGAGAGAGAGACCAGAGAGAGACCAGAGAGAGACCAGAGAGAGAGAGAGACCAGAGAGAGACCAGAGAGAGAGACCAGAGAGAGAGACCAGAGAGGGAGACCAGAGAGAGACCAGAGAGAGACCAGAGAGAGAGACCAGAGAGAGATCAGAGAGAGACCAGAGAGAGAGACAGAGAGAGAGACCAGAGAGAGAGACCAGAGAGAGAGACCAGAGAGAGAGACCAGAGAGAGAGACCAGAGAGAGACCAGAGAGAGACCAGAGAGAGACCAGAGAGAGAGACCAGAGAGAGATCAGAGAGAGACCAGAGAGAGATCAGAGAGAGAGACCAGAGAGAGACCAGAGAGAGAGACCAGAGAGAGACCAGAGAGAGAGACCAGAGAGAGAGACCAGAGAGAGACCAGAGAGAGACCAGAGAGAGACCAGAGAGAGAGACCAGAGAGAGACCAGAGAGAGAGACCAGAGAGAGACCAGAGAGAGACCAGAGAGAGAGACCAGGGAGAGAGAGACAGAGAGAGAGGACCAGAGAGAGACCAGAGAGAGAGACCAGAGAGAGAGACCAGAGAGAGACCAGAGAGAGACCAGAGAGAGACCAGAGAGAGAGACCAGAGAGAGACCAGAGAGACCAGAGAGAGACCAGAGAGAGACCAGAGAGACCAGAGAGAGACCAGAGAGAGACCGGAGAGAGAGACCGGAGAGAGACCAGAGAGAGAGACCAGAGAGAGACCAGAGAGAGACCAGAGAGAGGACCAGAGAGAGACCACGAGAGAGACCAGAGAGAGACCAGAGAGAGACCAGAGAGAGAGACCAGAGAGAGGACCAGAGAGAGACCAGAGAGAGACCAGAGAGAGAGACCAGAGAGAGACCAGAGAGAGAGAGACCAGAGAGAGAGACCAGAGAGAGACTAGAGAGAGAGACCAGTGAGAGAGACCAGAGAGAGACCAGAGAGAGAGACCAGAGAGAGACCAGAGAGAGAGACCAGAGAGAGAGGACCAGAGAGAGACCAGAGAGAGACCAGAGAGAGAGACCAGAGAGGAGACCAGAGAGAGACCAGAGAGAGAGACCAGAGAGAGACCAGAGAGAGACCAGAGAGAGACCAGAGAGAGAGACCAGAGAGAGACCAGAGAGACCAGAGAGAGACCAGAGAGAGACCAGAGAGAGACCAGAGAGAGAGACCAGAGAGAGACCAGAGAGAGACCAGAGAGAGACCAGAGAGAGAGACCAGAGAGAGACCAGAGAGGACCAGAGAGACCAGAGAGAGACCAGAGAGAGACCAGAGAGAGAGACCAGAGAGAGACCAGAGAGACCAGAGAGACCAGAGAGAGACCAGAGAGAGACCGCGAGAGAGAGACCGAGAGAGAGACCAGAGAGAGAGACAGAGAGAGACCAGAGAGAGACCAGAGAGAGAGACCAGAGAGAGACCAGAGAGACCAGAGAGACCAGAGAGAGACCAGAGAGAGACCGGAGAGAGAGACCGGAGAGGAGACCAGAGAGAGAGACCAGAGAGAGACCAGAGAGAGACCAGAGAGAGACCAGAGAGAGACCAGAGAGAGACCAGAGAGAGACCAGAGAGAGAGACCAGAGAGAGAGACCAGAGAGAGACTAGAGAGAGAGACCAGAGAGAGACCAGAGAGAGACCAGAGAGAGAGACCAGAGAGAGACCAGAGAGAGAGACCAGAGAGAGACCAGAGAGAGACCAGAGAGAGAGACCAGAGAGAGACCAGAGAGAGAGACCAGAGAGAGACCAGAGAGAGAGACCAGAGAGAGACCAGAGGGAGACCAGAGAGAGACCAGAGAGAGAGACCAGAGAGAGACCAGAGAGAGAGACCAGAGAGAGACCAGAGGGGAGACCAGAGACCAGAGAGACCAGAGAGAGACCAGAGAGAGAGAGACCAGAGAGAGACCAGAGAGACCAGAGAGAGACCAGAGAGAGACCAGAGAGACCAGAGAGAGACAAGAGAGAGAGACCAGAGAGAGACCAGAGAGAGAGACCAGAGAGAGACCAGAGAGAGAGACCAGAGAGAGACCAGAGAGAGAGACCAGAGAGAGAGACCAGAGAGGGAGACCAGAGAGGGAGACCAGAGAGAGACCAGAGAGAGACCAGAGAGAGAGACCAGAGAGAGATCAGAGAGAGACCAGAGAGAGAGACCAGAGAGAGAGACCAGAGAGAGAGACCAGAGAGAGAGACCAGAGAGAGAGACCAGAGAGAGAGACCAGAGAGAGAGACCAGAGAGAGACCAGAGAGAGACCAGAAGAGAGACCAGAGAGAGACCAGAG